CCCTCGTCGTGTCGTCGCGTCGTCCCGTTCCGTCTCCGGTCCGGTCGGTAGGGAGGGGGGGGGGGGGCGGGGCGTGTGTGACTGCTGACTGGCACGGAGACCGCAGCCCTCGTTAGGAACTCACGTGCGGAAAACTGCTATATACAAACCACTAAATGCAAAATAGACAACAGGGACCTCCGTACAGCACAGGGAGCTGTATTCAACGGCTCGTAGTAACCTAACGTGGAAAAGAACCCGAGCAGGAAGATCTGTACAGTGTAACGGAATCACTGTGCTGTGCACCAGAAGCTAACACAGCCTTGTAAGTCAACTCTACTTCAATAAAAAATTTAAAAAAAAAAAGAAAACCGGTGGCCACTTAGACCGCTGCCCCGGGCCCTGGGCTGTAACAGCTGGGGCGCGGAGCGTGAACAGAGTGGCTTATGTCAGGTGGCTGCGTCAGCGCCCGGCAGACATGGGGTTATGACCGCCAGGTGTCAGGTGGCTGTCTTGGAGGAGGAGCAGGTGCGCCAGGTGCAGACTGGAATGCGAGGTGGGGAGCAGGTTAGGCCAGCGCTGCCGGCAGGCGGGACCACGAGGGACCTGTGAGGACAGGTGCTGAGGTGAGAGCGCCCGTCGGGGGCTGACAGAACCGCCTCGTGGGGGCCCGAGCGGCGTGAGGGTAAGAAATGACGGAAGTCCTGCTCGCGGGGGCTCGCGCTGTGTGCCCAGGTGTCTTGCTTACACGGGGATACTGGGTCAGATTCCCCTCCAGACAGGTGTTCGGACAGCTGTTTAATAAGTGCTGGCAGGCATCCAACATGAGGGGCAGGTAAAGAAATCAGTTAGGAAAAAAAAGAGAATGAAGACAAGTGAGGGGAGGGGGAGTCTGAGGCAGGTGGAGCCACGGCAGCCCCGAGGGGGCAGGAGGTGCGAGCGCTGCGGCCGAGTGAACGGCGATGCCGTCCCCGGGGCGGCCCTCGCTGTGGGCAGCACCGGCTCTCGGGCGGTGACATGCGGGACAGTTTCTGCGTCTCGTGTCGGGAAGGACTGGGCTTGGAAGGGGTGCCGTGTGTTTGGAGACGCGGGCCTTGAGTGGCAGGAAGCGTAACTGTTCGGTGACAGAAGTAGAAGAGGCCGGGGGTGGCGGGGTCGGGGAGCAATGACTGGGTAGTCCGGGGGTCGGGCCCGGAAATGGAAACAACTGCTGGGACATTTTCTGTCTCATCCTGGTTGGTGTATCTGTAACCTTGGCTGCCGTCTGTCACGTAGACGTGTGCGCACCCGGCTCACCAGGCTGCGTGTGAACACGGACACCACCCGCGGGGCCGTGGCGCGGGAGCACGTGCGCGCCCCCAGGCCCCGTCTCCCCGCAGTGCAGACGCGCGGCCTGGGCTCATGCTGCTTCCCGCCTGCAGGTGGCGCTGTGGACTCACGGTCCAGCCCTGCATGCGGTCCATGCAGCCGGCCGGTCCACACCGCCTGCACGCCCGGTGCGTGCACGCAGGCAAGGTCCCGAGGACATGTTGTAGCGTGGTGAGGGCGGCACTGATGTGTCCGTGACACTTTTATTTGGGTCGAGGGGAAAGCCGCAGATGTGGAATACAGTTTCAGGTGGAGAAATATCCGGATTTTTGGTAACGACTCCCCCTCCCAGAACTGTAGACTCTCGCAGGCTGTTTTAACACAGCAGCGTACCTGGGTTCGGTTTTCCAGTTTCTATTTG